TTTATTTTTATTGTAAATCTCGTGTCAGAAGTGTATCTTCTTGATAACTCATAATGACTAGACAACAGAAATATAGTTTAGAATGAATGAAACCCACACAAATTATTATTTATTTACTACACTGTACTTCACTATGTGCAGTCATGCTATTTACACTTTGATTTTGTCAACGGTATAATGGTAATCAGCCTTTTTTTGTTGTACTTTGAAAAGTAAACGATCTGTTTGTCGTTGTGCACGTATGGCTGCCGAATATGATCCAAATCCTAGATTCCGAAATGAACAGATATTAAGCTTAGATATGGACTTACCTGGACGTACTACACGTGATTATGAACCACCTCAATTGGCTCCACAGGTAGTTGCTGCATTGGAAGCTGCACTACAGGATGAAGAAGATTTAGAATTGGATGGAAGGTATTAAAACTGTTTTGTCACACTGATTAACATTTAATCTTATAATCTATAAGGTTTTCTTTCAAAGTAGCTCTTTTAGGGGAAAAGGATTCAATACTTTTACTCATGGTCGTTCATTGAAAAGGAGTTAGATTTCCCAAAAAGTTATTCTATAAAGAACTAGTGCAGTTGCCATGATTAGCGCAACAATAAATTATCATTACCCCTAATCCATAAAAGATATTTCAAGTGTCAAAATTATACTTCGACCATCTATAAACAATAAGATCTTTAGTGATAATAATAAGTTTTCTATAAGTATAATTTGAAAAACGTTTTGTTGAAAATACCAAATAGGATATTAAATGAGTAACCTAGATTTATCTCTTCTGGCCAGTGTATCTTAGCATAAGGATTACACATGATGCTAAGATCTGCTTTATCTACAACCCATTGCTAGAAGGCTTTTATTGAGATTGTTGAAGTTCGTAGTTCATATCACCGACTGAGCTTAATTAAACAACCAATCGAAATCACTGGGGAGCTGTTTTGTCTATGAGATCTCAATGTCTTGAGTTTAATCCTTGATCGAATCATAGATGCAAATTTCTGAAGAGCCATACATTATGACTAATTGGCTGTCCAGTGACTACTGATTTACACTCGTTTAATTCAGGTCAATCAATGTTGTAAACTATAATTAATAAATATCTTATACTTTGACAATAATGTAGAGCAAACCATGTTGTTTGTATAAGCGAAAATGTTTAGTGACTAGCAGTGGAATCCAGGAAGCGCGTTTCGTCCTATTTGGGACTCGTTAGCTGGATGTACCTGCATCTTAGAGTTGATGATCACTCTGTGACTCGAACCCAGTACCTTCCATTTCAAACGCCATAGCGTTGTCCACTCAGCTACTGTGTCCTGATAGCCACTTGCTTGTGCAATGGGGTGAAGTTTAAATTTACTTAGTATTGTTTGTTTGTATCTTCCCATCGATGCTTAGGACTGCAACTAGTCAAATAAAATTATATTTGATCTCATAAATGAGAGATCTCCTAATTTGTAATAAAATATTTCAGTTATCAGTTAGTAATAGTGTACCAGAATATGACAATTTATAGGTTTACTTCCATATTCTACAAATTCTTGCATTATTTTTTACTTTCATATTTAGTCCTTCATTATTTCAATCTTCATTGACTAAATTGAAGAAATCAGAAAAACGGTAAGACTTAATTTGAAATAATAATTTTAAAATTGTCAGTTTTATTCATACTAGTACTATTCAAAAGAAGTTAACTCCTATCATTCATTATAGAATAGTTGATTTTTCATACCTTTTCCTTATTTTATAATAAAAAGAAAAGAACATACTGATTAAGTTATACATTTTTTTTGATAAGTTCTTGACAGTTCTTTAGTTTTCTTCACTTTTTTGTTTCCTTGACCTAGATTTACTCTGTTCCAATACTCCTTTTCGATAACCACACGAAGATTTCTTTTCCCATCATAATAATAATTGAAAGAAAATAGTTTATCTCAATAATTTATCTCAGCTTTTATGATATTACTGATATAGTTTTATAATTTCTGAAAGTTTGTTAATGTTTTTATGTGAATTTTCTTTTGTTTAACTTATGGCTCCTATGGAAATCAGTAGTTTATGACATTTTTTCCATGAATGGTTAAATAATACGTTAAGACCAATTTCACAAAATTCCCATCGATATTAAAAATGAAATATCTTGTCTAAATAGAAATAAGTACATCATAAGTTGTAATAATGACTACCCCAAGGTTATTTGCTTCAACCTACTACTGTGTTTCAGGTCAATATGTTTTATTAAAAGAAATTCGAATACATAGAGTGAAATTTGCGTTTAAATGCATTTAATTAGGAAACTTAAAACTAAATAACATTTTAGTGAATATTCCAATCAATTTCACTTGGTGTTGTTGACTTGTATCTACCCAGAGTGGACATCAACTGTAAGATGCAGGTACATCTAGCTGACGAGTCCCAAATAGGACGGAAATCGCTTTCTGGATTCCACTGCTAGCTACTATCCATCTTTGCTTATAAATATTCCAATCAATTTTACGAAATTATAATATTACTAAAACGTCTATCAATATACCTGGTAAACTTAAATAATCTTACAGAGTATATTGATCTAATCCATTAAAATATCTAGAATTCAGTATTATTGTAAAGTTTACTGATTTCATCTAGGTTCATTAGTTCACAATAAGATAAGAGAATTCAAACACTTCATGAAATTAATTTTCTTAATTAATTAAGAAAATATCGGGATGATCCTGCAAATTTCTCGCAATAGACATGACAAACTCAGGAAAACATTAAGAAGTATTTTATCCAATCAGCGTTTGATTAGAAGTTTCGCTGGAAATATCGCAAAAATGAAATGTCACATGTAGAGGTTCTGATTGGCTGATTACTACACTGCTACTATGTTTAGTAGTATTCTAGAATTTTCAGTAAAACCCAAGGGCTTTTAAAATACTATAAAAACCCTATTTTTTCTGTACATAAATGAACCTTTGGAGTAAATTGCTTCACGCATATTTTGTGCCTTTTCTCTCGTGTTCAAGTCGCTATGTAGTTCTAGCTTGGGTGTTACGAAACTAGCTTAGGATCCGAATATAGCGTCCAATCAACAAAACATATCAGAGAAAACAAAAACTGACATGTTTGTAGACAGAATAAAAGTTTGTCTAATTTAAATATAATTTATTATATTCATCTATTCATTTTCTTTTTTTTATTGATAGATTACATAGTGCAACACAAAAAGATGATACTCAAATATTTCCTCAGTCTAAAGGACTTGTACCTAAGTAAAACAGAGATTATTCAATCAGAATTTTGTTTATCAAACTTCAACTTTTTGTTGACTATTCAATATTATATATGCAAATGTATAAATATTTCTGAATTTTTCGTAATTCAATGGGAGTTATTAGGTATTGGATGTCTTTTGACCAGTGGGATCAATTTTAAGCCATCTCATAAGTAGCTTTATGATCTTAGTTAGCCCACCAACGGTTCAAAATCACCATCACTAATTTAACGCTACACTTATACTAAAACTTTTGTTTGGCTTAAAATTTAAAAAGCTCTAATCCAATCTATGTTAATTTAGTTCTGATCTAAATAATAATAAACAAAATTAAATTATCTACTGAAAAGTTATCATGACAGTAGTAGTTTCAATGTTTTAGATCATTAGTCAATTGTAATTAGACCAAAATGGAAAACCTGGAAGCACTGGACGGCTCACTAGTGACTGGCTTCAAAAAGGTATTTCCTGAAGTTCTAGTGAGAAGCAGTAACCAGTGGAGTTCAACCAGGTCTGTTGTGAGATAGTAACTCACTGCAGGCATTAGTGAATGGTTGCTCAATTTTGTGGATTGGTTGAAGCTAGACATCAACACCATTGCATACCAGCTCAGTGGTTCTAGAGATGAGCGCTCGCGCGTGAGACTGATGGGTGCTGGGTTCGAATCTCGCGAGACGTGATCGTGAATGCGCACTGCTGAGGAGTCCCACAATAGGACGAAACGACCGTCTAGTGCTTCCAGGTTTTCCATGGTAATCTATCTTTAATTAACTCATGATCTCAACTATTGAAATCATATATATGTAATGATAGAAAAAATTGATTTGACAAAGAGCCACTTATAGTAAAGTGGCACTTTTCAATATTCCCGTATAAATCCAAAATCGATGCTCATTTTATATTTCCTCATTATCCTGTCCAGTTTAAATGGTTAGAATCAAATTTTTCAAGTTGAATATTATGTATTTTCATGTATAAGACAATCAGATATTCATCTATCCAGCATGCTTTAACAACATTTCAACTATTAAATATTATATAAAAAGGAATTTAAAACGAAAAGAATGAAATTTATTCTTATTTTTCAACATTATTTTTGGCCACTAAATAAAGGAGATATAGAAAACAAAAAAAGGACGGAGGAGGTGGGGGTTAATTTATATATGAAACTGTTTTACCGACAATGATTCATAAAATCATAATGTTTATTATTATTATTATTAATATGGTCTACAATGTTAACTAATAATCATTTAAAGAATGAAAACAAAAAAGAAAAACGAAAAAAATAGAGGAACCGACATACTAATAAACTCAATTCATTCAAAATATGAAACTAGGCAATATACACTAGACTAAACGAAAACGATGATGATGCAACAAATCAAATGTTATACCATGTATAACATAAGTTAGTTGTCTTGATTGTGAAAACAAAAAAGAAAAGAGGAACGAAAAACAAAAAAAAACTCAATTATGGATTTGTTTAAAGTGAATTCCTTTAAAGAAAATTTATTTTTAAAAGGGTATGGAAAATGGAAATTATTGAATTAGTATATGGATAAACAATTACTAGTCATTAAATTCTTTTACAAATCAATAAGATGGAATTATATAAAAAAATTGTCAAAACATTAAAATGTAAATGTTTATATGGATAATAATAATGGTAATAGTAAAGGGGAAACAAAAAATGTGACTAATTTAAATGATTACTGGTTTAATTGATTCGGTGTAGAATCAACAACAACTTGTATCAGCTGGTGGTAGATCAAGAAGACTTAAAGAACTACCATTTTCTTTTTGATAATTTCCTAATTCATGTCGATTACTCCATTTTGGAATACCTGGTTGAAAACGAGTTTTATGTGAAGAAGCTGGTAATTCACTCATAACACTAAATACGGATCCTTCACGTGTTACTGAATAATTTCTTGATCTAGTTGGATAAAGACTACCAGATCGTTGTCTATTGTAATTTCCATAAGTTGTAACATTATCTTCTTGAGCAGTTAAACCGATACGTCTTTCAGCCATTTGAGCACGTAAATCTGCATCATCCACTTGTTGTTGAGCTTTACGATATTTCATTGAAGCAGTTTGAGCAGCATTTTCCTGTAATTAAATTAAATTAGATTCTTAACATTCTTGGTTATCAATCTATCTTAAGAATAAAATCATTCCATTTTTAAAAATTCAATCATGTGACTAGATGCATCATCCACTACCATTTGTATAATTCTCACATGAAATGATTAATCTGTCATTTGTAATCTGTCAACGCTACCAGAGAAAAGATAAACCATTCATAACTACTAAAAAGCATACCATTGTTCATAAGTAAATAAGTATAGTGCACATATTTTTGCAATTATTACTGCATCAAACCAAGTAAATAGATTTGTTTTACAGTAAGCAATTGTACTGTTTTCCAATAGGCACTGAGTTCTATCTATTCACAGTGTATTACCTATAATCATTTACTAGTAATTAATTTAATTGAACTTAAAATTTTACAAAGTACACATACTGCTTCTTCTAACTGTTTCCTGGTTTGTTTCAGTTTTGTTTGAGCTCGTTCAACCATTTCACGTAGTTCGTTTATCATATGTCCAGCATCTTGTTCACCTTGTACTGATTCTTTGAGTGCTCTCTCACATTTTCTGTATAACAAAAATCATAAAAATCACGAATTATTGAGACAAAATCACATGAATTTAACAAAAACTATTGACTAATTTTTGAAAGGTATCCTTATTTGAGAGAATTTCAGTCAAATGCTTTTTGTTTTTATATTGCAGCAGTAACAAGCTCCTAAAATGAATAGCTTTGCATACATGCGATATCGATCATGACATTGTTAGTTTTGACGGACACTATTAGCTGAGAACACCGAAATTCAATCATGTCTTAACATACATGAAACACTTCCCCCATCCTTTAGATAGCCGCAGATAAGTTTCAAGTTATTGTACACAAGCGTACGGTAAAGTATATTATTTCATTCGACACTTTCCGTTCTCCTACCCGTTTGTTTTACAATTATAACTTTGAAAAGGTTGGTATCAGAATCGTTCAATCCTGTATTATCTATACTAGTTCAGTATAAAATACTTTTGTGTTTTACAACTTTCCGTTTGTGTCCAACTGTCATATAAATGTTCTGCATAAGTCCTCTAAATGGTAGACTCGAGTATTACTCATCAGTTGAAGATGATACGTAATGTGATAGTTTTAGAGAATGGCACAACTTATGTACTGAAGTGCCTTCTCTCGTCTTCAGGTGATTCTACAATCCACGGTAACTCTGGGTGTCCGATGTATGGTAACTCACAAAGTTATTCTTGATACTGGAAGGTATGGAGCCAATGAGAATCGACAGAAAAGGTTACGTTGTGTTTATCCGAGTTCGATATTGGTATAAAGGCTTTCTATTTGCAGGTGAAACTTTTCACTGAATTTAAAAATTCAAGAATGAATTGGAAGCTTTTAATGACTAAACTTAGTCGAGATATATGCACAAACTCATCCATAAATACCAATGTATTTCGTTTGAGAAATTAACTCAGATTTTTAACCAATATTTTATATATTTTCAACGAAAGTAAAGCAAAATCTTGACTGAGAGCGTGAACCCAACAGCACCTCTCACTTATCAATTCACCTTGAACTGATATATCTAAGTGATTTGATGCATCACCTTCCCTTCCTGGAAAATAAGATCAGAGTTTTGGATTCAGCTACAGGAATTAGAGTTGGCGAATATCATCTCTCCTCCCATCCCCACCTCCTCGCGAAATGTGCAATACCCATGGAGTATCTTGGTTCCGAGTTCTCATATCTTGTAGCTATTCACATATGACATCTGAGAGTAGCTGGTGAAGACCATGAATGCGTACTTGTGATAACACACAATCATTACCAAATAAAGATGTTAAGTCATAAATAGTATCAAATGATTGATTAACTAGTTAACCACGTGAGCCAATCTAGACACAATTAGTTCTAAGATTCATCTGTGACATGGTATTTAGGTTTCACAAATTGATCGTTAAATTTGAGAAAACATTAGTTAATTCCGAAAAATTTAATTGCACGATTATAGTCATTCTTTACCACGGTATGTTACGGGATAAATACTTGAATGATCAAATTTGTGCGACGTTTTGAGATAAATCAATGTAATATTGGAGACTATATCCAACTGTTCATCGACCTTGATGAATACATATTTAATTAAAAATTTGGAATAAGATCTGACTAAAGCATACACAAACTTCGTTTATTTTTGAACTCAACAAATAGGACTTGAAGAACGTGATGAGAATTTGTGGTGTTTAGAAATATATTATTGTGACCAGTTTCATCATCTCTCGCCTTTTATTTGGCCTTGAACTGATATGTCTGGTTGGCACAGAATAGCAGAAAACTGAACCATGAGTGATTTAGAAAACGAAAAACAAGTAACGGATATCGAGGAAGCTGTGTGTTATCAATAATTCAGTTTTGAAACCTAATAACGTAACGACGGTATGTTTCCAAAGGATCACTAACGAGTAATCCAATATTATTAAAAGCGGAAAGTGTTGCTATAGTAGCGAAGATGAAACCTAAATTAAAGTGTTCCCTCAAAAGTTGGCTAAGTAAGACAAATTTGGAATCAAGCCATCAGTTTCTTGATCAATCAGCAAGTAAGGAAAGAATTCAAGAAAGGCTGACTACAGTTCAATAAATTGGGTCTCCTAGATAGATCAGTCATTTTTCAAGAATTAGAATTCATTGAATAAAGAATGAAAAGCTAAGTATGTATGGGATCCAAGTTATAGAAAGTACCCACTAGATAAGTTATTATCGAAGGCAGCGACAGACATCAGCATCTTTAATGTCCGTATAACAAAACAAATCCTGAGTCCTAGAAGTCCGTGGTCAAACAGTCTTCTGAAGGCAACACTCATTTCTAGCGAGGAATGAACTTTACTTGTAAAAAATTCGTACAAGTTTCACAAACCTAAGATCTGTATATTTGCGAACCTCAGTTTCACTAATAGTATTAAGACGGTCAGTAGAAATCTAAACAAACTAATGTTGTCGGAACGGCGAAAAATCTGATCCTGAAGACTTTCCCATACAGTCAACGTTCGGAACCAAAATATCCCCAAACCACTGCTGTTAGAAAGATAAAGTATTGAAAACGACTTGTTTACCAGTGTTGGAAGCCTATTAAACTAATAGATCAGGCCTTATAGGTAGTGACGTAACTCTGTACGTAAAAAGGCAGTTTAGACATATAATAAGATGGGGGAATCAAACAGGGTTTCAAAATATATTAACTGATAGTACATCAGCTTGAATGTGAAAGGAAAATTATCGAACTAGTTATATTATACCCAATCCCTGAATGTCGACCTTATGGGTTTCAACTCCATAATCTCCAGCCCTTTACAAACAGGAGCAACTTCCTTATAGTGGGTGACCTCAGTGCACTTTCCACTTAGTTAACTAAGTGATTAAGTCACCAATAAACTCACTTAAACCAAAGCTGTTATAATGACCGATTTTAATAGCTCTTAATCAGCGTATTTGTTCTTTCATTCATTTATTATGTGTAAGTTCACTGCTACTTTTTGTGTTCCAAGCCAATATCCCATCCTGTCCTAACGTACGGAAAGTTGATGCTACTCAGCGTTTTTTTAGAAGACTGGATAGTCGATCAGGTGTCATACCATGAAGTAGCATGTGTTCGTTTCATATAATGACATAGGTAGATAACACAACTGTTTATACCATATACATAAAAGACTGGTTCCCTCCCCCGAATCCATAGTGAAACTAATCATCTACTGAGACAACAAAACACTCTGAAACCTTACCACCAGTCTTAGAACCTCCAATATAATTGAATTTCACGGATCGTGATCGAATTATAGTGTTGTTGTAATTCATCAAACCTTCTTAGGCGCTAATAAAGCTCGGAACTTGAGAAAATATCTAATAAATTGAACTGTCTAACCTTAGTTGAGTTTGGGCCTCTCTTGACTTTTTAGATTCCTCTTCCAAAGCTAGCTGCAATTCTCGTATTTTAGTCTCGGCTTGACTTTTGGCATCATCAGCTTCACGTTCTGCTGCATCAGCTGCTCTTCGGCTTTCCAAAATCTTAGCATTACAGTCTTTTAGTTCAGCCTCCAATTGCCTTCTTGCAGTATCTGATCGACGTGACGACTCCTGTTCAGTTTGAAGTTCTTGAGCTAGACGGTTAACTTCGTTTTGAAGTCTGTCTGCTCGCTCTGTAGCAACCTGTGATAAAGGTAAAGAATAATGGGGCAATATGTTCTAGATTCCTAATTATTTGTCAAGTGCTGTAAATTGGTCAGGATAATGGATTGAAATGAACAGCACCCACACTTTAAGACGATCTTATTTAATAAATTTAATTTTCAAGTATAAATTTGTAATCTTATAATCAAGATATTCATTATATGAAAACAGACCCAATTAAATTAGGATGGGACAGTTTTACTGAAGATGATCAAGTCTTAGTGTTAAACTATGTTTTAGTTAGAGTTCAAAAGTCAATAGCAAAACAGGTTTATTTTCCATAATTTCTAGTCAATTTATTCATATTCAACAAAAAATTCATTGAGTCATGAACCAATCAATGTTGAACCATCATGACATTAAAATACGAATTTGGCTTGGATATGTAGATGATGCCTTTGTTGTGATAGAAAAGACCCATCTATCATCTTTTTCGAAACGGAGCAGTACAATTTCATCTCGCATCAAATTTACAAACAAGAATAAAAATGAACATGGTGAGATACCATTCTTAGATTACTTCGTTACAAAAAAAGTAAATGGAGTTCTAGATCTATCCATCTACCAAAAACCAACACAATCAAATCGTTATATTGACTTCAATTCAGCACGTCCGTTCAGTGCAAAGATCTCGCTAGCCCTAAATTATTTTAGAAGAGCTAACAAGATTATCACTTCAGAAGAGGACAAACAAAAAGAACAAAAGAATGTAATTAACATCTTACAATTTATTAATTTCCCTATGAAGATTATCAGAAGTGTATTAAAACGAGACGTTTCACCGCTAAATAATAACTCAAACGAAATACCGTGGATTGGTAATGCAGTTTTACCATACTGTCATGGTACAACAGAAGAAAGAATATTGAAACAATACAGAATCAATGTATATTACAAAACAACGAACACCCTTCAAAATACTTTAGTTCACTTAAAGGAAAAAGTCCCCTTTATGTCAACTCAGAACTATGTCTACAAATTAGGATGTTTCAATTGTGATGCCTTCTATATTGGAGAGTCATCTCGCGAAATCTTGACTCGTGCCAAAGAACACATTAGTTACACAAAGAAACCACCTAATAATCTCGTAGAACAAGATAGACTTCAAATTAAATCGACAACAGCAGTTCACACCATTTTTAATAACCACCAACTCGATTTCAAAAACATCAAAATAATACAAAATGGTTTTCCCCAGGTACAAAGAAGCGAGAATAGCTGAAGCTTTCCATATAATGCTTAATCCTACTGCTTTCAATAGAAAAGAAGGCTTAACTATACATTCAAGCTATCGTATTTGATATTATTCACATTTCACGCTATAATTGTTCATACAAATTAAACTCTATCCTTTCACACCACAAAGGTCACATTTTTTCATATTCTTGCTTTGTTCCCTTGAACTATTTAAACTTGGATTAAATTTGATTTGGTTAGTTATTTTCTGAAGAAGTGGCTTACACTAAGTCACAAAACGTCAGGAAATCTAATTTTCTACTCATTGAGATATTACAGATATATTATTTTATTTATAACAATCTTTCCAATACTCCTTTACCCGGTCTTGGGATCGGTTGTAACCCTAGAAAAGCTACAGGAGGAGTTATTTGAAGAAGACAGATACTAATATTAACGTTCTAGTTGACTCCATCTTGAAGATAAAAATATTTACTATAGTAAATTATTACTAATCTGTTAATGGGAAATTCCTTCAAACTATTTAGTTCTGTCAAATGTAAGCATATTAACTGCATATGAATGGTGTAAAGATGAACAAGATAGAAAGTAAGTCACTTAAAACTGTGAACACCGAATTAATAAGCAGCAGTAAAACATGAATTCGACCCAAATTAGTATTTTAAATTTAAGCATCATTTAGTGTTAGAAATAAACTGCAAAAGTGTTTTATCAATCGGTTTATGATTCATAATGAACAATGAAATCAACAGGTTGTGTCTGTCACAGAAAATTTCAACATGCCAGTGTGCAATATTTGGTGACCATTTTTTGTCGAATTGCTTTATCAACCAATTCTTGTGTGGTGTACTTTCGGGGGTTTTCAATTAATATAACACAATCTAAAGTATATACAATACTATTGTTTAGTCTATAAATGCACCTGTATATTTAAGTTAAAGTTGCTAGGATTTTAATAAACATTTCATTATTTATAATGTAATAAAACGAGAGATGCTCGTCTTGAAAATGTAATAATAACTCACATCTTTTGCACCTGTCGCATCGTCCAAATCACCTTCAAGCACAGCTATCTGACCTTCAAGTTTTCGCTTTTCTGCTGTCAAATTATTCACTTGTATTGTCAAACCACCAAATTTTGTCATATTCTCCGATGATTCTTCTTCCAACTTTCGTTTTAATCTTTCTGTGATTTCCAATTGACTTCTTAAGCTTTCTACTTCGTTTGATAAAGCAGATCGACGACTTTCGCATATCTAAAAAAGAATTATTCCTATTTGCATTAGTAAAGTAAATATGAAAATTATAAACAATTAATTCCATTATAAAGAGTGAACATCAACTCTGAAATGCAGGTATATCCAGCTGACGAGTCCAAAATAGGGCGAAACGCGCGTCCTGGATTCCACTGCTAGCCACTATCCATCATTGCTGACAACGCTTGTGAAATAAGGCTATATCGAGGCAATACGCCAATTAGAGACTGACCAGTTGCAGTCCTAAACATCAATGGGAAGATTCAAACAAGCAATACTAAATGAATTGAATAGATATGTTTGAAAACAAGTATTTATATCGGCTCACTCGTTAGTAACTATATTATAAAACGATGTCATCAATTTACCTGTAAAGTAGTTGCAGTTTCAGATACCAAATTATTTAGTTCTGTTATATCTATTTCTAATTGACAAATATGTGCTTCTGCTTCTTGATGTAATTTAATAGTTTCTGAATGAGCAGTTTTTTCCTCTTCCAATTGAACTTGTAAATTATTTATATTTCCTTCTAATTTCTTTTTAAGTCGATCTAATTCATTTTGGTTTTTCATTTCCATATCTGCTACAGTTGCTTTAAGATTTTCCACATTACGTTGACTTGAACGTCTATAATTAAAATCCATAAATTGGACATGAAATATCGGAAAAAAGCATAACTTCAAAAAATTAGACCTTCTGAAATGATCTTTTAAACTTTACTTTTTCAATGTTAACACAAGTAGGTTTCTTAATGTGAACTCAACAAAATAATTATGATAGATCAAACCTTTAACCCAATTTTTAAAACAAAACCGAAACACTACAGATTATTCTAACATTGAAAGATGAATATAAATTTGCATCACCTTAAACTTTCCATTTCTTCCTCTTTATCTCTTGACTGACGTTCAAATTCATTTCTTAAAGTACTTAGAGCTGAATATGTTGTTTGATAACGAGTCTATAGAGAAAAAAAAGATAATAAGATACAATAAAAGATCTTTATCAAAATATTATTTATATAGGAGTTGATTTTCATTGTTGTGCAATGGTAAAAATTAGACACGTGGGAACAGGTAATAGTAAGATACAGAACTGATGGCCAGTAAATAATTACTAACAGATTGTAATCAGTTGCCAATATCTATGTGTTATATCACGAAGAGAATTATGAATGGTAACGTTTAAGACGTATTTATAGACCAATACAAGACTCATGTTTCCCATTGTATAATTGTTAAGTAACTAAAGTATCCATATTCGTGTCCCTCTTATTATAAGCTTTATTTTGACCTATGAACTATTATTATACGATTTACCATTCTTGAGTTATCCCTATTCTATTAATGACTGTTCGCCCTATTCACAGCCACATTTGGCCAAATCCTGTACAAATGTTATTTTCTATTTTATGGTACAATGTGATCTGTTTGATTGCTATATAAATCCAGTATGTTTGTGAATAATGATTCATATTGCAGAGGCTGTTATTGGTGCTCTAGACTTAACTGGCTGGGCTAGGCAGAAAGCAGGAATGATAAGTACTCGAGACTGCTCATACGGCTTTTGTGTATCATTGGGCGATCAATAAATTTACTCCTCTCTGATTGGCGGGACTCAACACGTTCATATATATCAAACAGGGCACGCACCCATTCGATATAACACTATGATATAAGAAGTAATCCCTTCACAATATAAAACAAACTTTGAAATATGGTTGTTTAAACTACCTTTTACCTGTAATGAACAAATTTAAATATAAATCCGAATATTAATCACTAACTAAGAGACACTTTATACACATGACTGTGGTAGCCGGATAGATTTTATTCACGTTTGTTCTATTTTAAAATCTTGAAATATTGTAATAATAAACAAGTTTAGGGATTTTCTAATGTGTACTCGTACGCTTAAAACCTTAAAAAGTTGCATTACGAATAAGATAGTAAGTTGAAATCCAGGGAACAGTTAAATGTATGAAAGTATTTGCCTCATTCACCCAAAATGAAAATAAAAGTGCCCTCAGAATTGGCACACGAAGAGTTTGACAAAAGGTTTTGAGATTTACCGGCTGTTGAACTACTTACAATGATATACATTCTAAACCTCATGTGTATATTAACTAATTTCATTCAAACGAATATGCTATTGACTATTAATAGAAAGTTTTGGTTATCAGTACTCTGTTGTCAAGGCTTTCAATTACTAAACTCTCTGTCAATTTTCAAAAAATGCATTTTGGGTTAGGAATCATGGTATTGAACCTATGTCACTGTATGAACCTGTATTAAATCGCCTTCTGTTAAGAGCAATAAATTTGATTAAGTTTAGTTGTGGGTGTTGTAGTTACACGATACTTTTATGGATATTAAAAGACCAAGGCACTAAGTTATTCATAAAATTTTATAGTTGTCTGTCAGTTTGCAGCACTTTTCCTAAAAATAAGAAAACTAAACAAACTGGCTATTAATTTAAATTTTACACAAACATTTTCATAAAACTGCAAGAACTTACTTCACATTCATGTAGGGCATCTTCTGTATCCTTTAGTGTAGAGTCTAGATTATCTCTTTCAGCTTCTAATCTTGCTCGAGAGCTCTCCAAATCGGTAACTTGTCGATTGACAACTGATAAACGTTCTTTAGTTTCTTTTAATTTTTCTTAATACATATACATATATATAATGATAAATAGTATTGAACTTATTAAAGTTATGTTAGAATCTTACATGAATATAAATCGTTTGATTATATGGCTTCATACATCTACCTAGTTTGAGTAAAGAATCAAGTAATAGTCTATGGATTTCAACGAAAAATTGAATCGAAAAGTTATATTTCAGGATCTTTTTTTAGGTTGCGGAGCTCCACAACTAAACCATCCAGCTCAGAGAACAAAACTCTATCAAAATCATTCACCTGAGCTACAAATCTTCACCATCTGAAAATCATTTTGTTTGATTATACAAGTAAAAAGTAGTATAGGTGCATATTATATGGAGAATCAATCATATTTAACAAAAATACTTTCAAACTGCATGAAATTTTGTCTTCTTATATAGGATTTAAAACTTATGGGGTTCTTTTTAGTTTGGCGAATAACTTAAGGAAATACAAGTAAGATTATATTTACTTCCAGTTATATATAAATTAAAACATCCCATGTTTTTTGGGCCCTCTGATAATATCTAATTAGATTGTTTATGTAACACGTATAGCTGTCTGTTTTCAGTAGCTGTAAGTATATACTGTTTGGAATTTGGAATTTCCCATAGGTGTAAATGAATTCATACTGAAATTTTCTAACTTAGCATATGAATACATGAAGGTGATAATACTTTTATTAATTCAAAACAATAACCTTTTTACCACATAACAATAATGCGCTGTCTATCAAAAAAGGTGGTATTTTAAAATCAATACATTTATTGAAGTCTACCTCTACACACATTTTGGACTTCATTCTTTTAACTTAGTGGGTCGATAAAATACCCAGTGGAATGTGTAGATTCTGAGGATTGAGTATCATACATGTATATCAGCCTAAAATTGAATTTATCGATATGTAAATCTCTGAAAAAATCATTTCTATTTTATATTTCCAAAGCTTCTTCAGTTATTTACGTCAGTAAACGAATAACTATTCGTAGTTCGAAAATTGACGAGAAATAATTTGTTTTTGACCTTTTTAACAAAACCAGCCAGTGAATTACTGCGAATTTCGATCTTAATTCGTAATCTAATCCAAGTTTTATCGGATAGTTTCAGCCTTCAGTACCGCCTCATTTGTAAAATTGAAAATAGTTTAAATCGCAGGTTGAATTCAACAATCTTAGAAAACAAAGGGTCAGTGAACACTTTTATCGTTTTACATGAGAACCTTAAGCAATATGTACCGATAATTACGTCAGGGATCAAACCCTAGTTATTCAGGAATCAGTTGACATTCAGTAGTTTGTCCTTACAACTTCTGTTCTTTAATCAAAGTGACCGCATAAAAAATGTGTGTATAGATACTTACCCATTAAATGCTGCATAAAGACAAGAAAATAAGGACTAAAAGTGATTTAGATCATAACAATTTCAAATGTAGCACTTTTTTTTCTTAGTTATGATGACCTAGCCCTAAAACGCTACTATTTTAACGCTCAAAAACGTTTCTAATATTGATATCATTCCGGTTACTTATCATCTACAGAAGCGACTTGTATTGGGCGGATAAACCTCAGAAATTCAATTTTCTACTCACTGGGATATTACAAATGTTCCATCGTTTTTATCACTGACAATCTAGAAATACCCAATTTATTCGAAATTTTCTAGTACTCATATTCCCGTGTTGACTTACAGCAGAACTATGGTTACAAAAATGTAACCATTCAGGTTTACTAGAAAAAATCTATGTGGCGAAATAAAACATTTTTTCACATCGGAATTTTATGATAGTATAGCTGGTTTTTTAACAAAAATTATATCCTTCAAATGAACTAAGTAGTATGCCATAGATTCAGTATCCTTTAAAATATATCAATATAATAAAACATGAATGCCTAAGTGAACGCTTTTGATCAGATCTTATTGTTACCATCACATTTATAATTTTTTATTCTAATACCTATACTAGTACATTTTGACATGAAAGTATGATTCGTTACTTTTTTGGGACAAATTCTGAAATAATTTAAATTCATGTATAGCTGACGAGTTTGAAACAGGACGAAACGAGAGTCCTGAATTTCACTGAAATAATTGAAGAAAAGGAGATAACTATACATTTCACTATACAACTAGTCAAGTTAACATTATTACCAGCATTTTGTTTGTTCTCTTTCTCCAGCACTGACAAACGTTCTTCCAGTTCAGATTTAACGGCTCTAATTTGAATAAGATCCCTTTGTAACAAACCGCATTTTGTTCGTAAATTGCTTTCTTCAGTTTGCGTTTCCTCTAAAACCGCTTCTAGTTCTGTCTTTTGACTTTCCAAACTTTTGATAGTTTGAGTTTGTTCAGTACATTCAGCAAACAACTGAAAATGTTAAACAATGATATACTATCTAGAAATTAAGTTATATTATTGTTTTAATAGCATGGAGTTTACTATTATTACCAAACGTTATAAATTTAACAGTTTGTCAGCATTTTAGAATTAATACTCGTCCACAGATTTTGACCCACCATTCGTTACTTCAAACGTTGTGACGTTATCTTATGGGTTACTGAATCAATGTAAGAATTGTTTTTACCATGAATGGTAAATATTTGCCAACAAGCATTTGTTAAGTAAATCCAAAATATCAACAGTGGCGGAATTCAAATTCTAAAAATTTTCCTTATTAAATTGACTAAATGTTTGTGTGAATAGTCGGAAACAGAGTGCTTATGATTCTTGTAGCGTTCAATTTATATGTTTGTGTGAAAACATTCTAGGACAGGTTTAACGTTTTCAAACCATAAGAAAAGATCATTTTGGGGATCTAACTAAATCATTGATAACAAAATTAAGGAGAACATTGCTTATACAAGTTTATTTCAATATTAGTCACATCAGCCACACTTATGGGTCGTATTTGTTAGTTCCAATCACTAAAATGTATCGTATATATATGTGATTAGTAAATTATGTCAAATCTGAACTCACATTATCTAATTGAGATTGTATTTCTTGACATTGATTAGCTAATTGATTCTTGGTACGTTCAAGACTAATAACTCGACCACGTTCAAGTTCATAGGATTCTGTTAATTCATTGATACGATTGTTCAAACGACGTCTAACGGTAATCAATTAATAAAACGTATTAAAGTTTATTATCATAAATTGAATAATTTTATTCTAGATATTAAAATAACTAACTGTTGCTACAATACGTTTGTTTAAATTATTCAGTATATACATTATATCACTGAGGTAAACAACAGCTGAAAAGTTCTAGTACTGTTAGATATTGACTTATTAATGGACAAAAAGTCGGTAACTTCGATAACTTCAACATTAAACTGTACAGCCATATATGCAAAAGTATTTTTATGTTACAGCACACAAAACATACTAAATTCAGTTTAATCTATATTATGAATTGAAAATGGTAAATTTCACGTTGACTGAGTCTTGAATATTACAAATCACCAAAAAATATATAATAGTTCAATTGGTAATGTCAAGACAGGTCTTGCATAAAGGATACTTTAAGGTGACGTATGGGTTCTGACATTTTAATACAAAATAGAAATTGTTGTTTCATAGTTGTTATGATAATAATAACAATAATAGTATTGATATGAATATTAAGTAAAATTAGGAAGATGAATGTATAATTAAAGAAAGAAGTGCAAGTCACGATGGAGAGGAATGGACCAAATCAGAACAAACAATGAAACGACCTTAATGTGGGCCAAAATAAGCAATGAGGTTGGATGTGTGTTTTTTGTATACATAAAGTTTATATGAACTGATACCGATTGTCTCAGCTGTATGGAGTACGAGTTATATTTTTTAGAAATTACTGGAAACTTGATTGATAATTGAGAAACCATCTTCAGTTTTGATGCTATATTCATAATCAACTAAGAGGGAAAGAATGGCACGCTTAAGGTTAAAAAATGACACTAGCTAAACTAATTACATGACCAAAACGAAATTATATCTTCAAGTGTTCTATTTGGAGTAGTTATGAATTTTATACATGTTATACTTGTTATAACGCTAGGGTTTCTTGTTATAACAGTCCTTTCACTTTTTACACGTATGTGAGACGCTAATTTACCTTAGACGAATATCTACTCTAGATTCCCTCCCAGTGTCTATTCTACAGGACTTCAACACAACTCAAATCAAGAATAAGAGCTTAGCCTGACTGTAACGTCAATATATTTGCACACCAAAATCCGACACAATCCAACAACAAGAACAGTTAATCAATAATAATAAGGATAAGGGGAATATATAACACATATAACACCTGTTACACTATCTACATGTTTGACTCAGCAAAATAATCAATCATTATCATTCTCGCCCACACATAAATACATTTATCCCACTCAACTATTAAATAAAATAGCCATTTCACAAAATTTTGGTATTCATTTTATCAACAAGATAGTCATTAGCTTCTAGTAAAAATTAACATATTTCCGAAATTCATCATCACTCACACCGTCTTAATTTGTGAAAGCAGAGTACCCAGTGCTGTGATGATTTAGTTGATTTGATAAAACTCTAAAGATAGAACCATTGTTTGGCAATTCAAATATAAAAATTTAACGAAGATAATACAAGTAAATTATCTGTAGACAATAAGTAACTGTTAAAGGATGAAAACCAAGGTCACAAGCAAATCAATCATTTTTATCAGAAGGAGGTTTTGTAGATATTATAGTAATTTTATAAAGTTGAAATCATGAATCACTTGAAGCTAGATCACCATAGAAAACCTGGATAATGATCATATGCTCACTAGTGACTGGCTTCAAAAGGTATTTCCTGGAATTCTAGTGAGAAGCAGTAACCAGTGAAGTTCAACTAGGTCTGTTGTGAGATATCAACTCACTGAAGACATTGATGAATGGTTGCTCAATTTCGTGGATTGGTTGAAGCTAGACATCAACACCAGTGCATGCCAGCTCAGTAGTCTAGTGGTTAAGCGTTCGCTCGCGAAACTGATAGGTCCTGGGTTGAAATCTCGCGGGGCGAGAACGTGGATGCGCACTGCTGAGGAGTCCCACAATAGGACGAAACGACCGTCTAGTGCTTCCAGGTTTTCCATGGTAGTCTAGCTTCAAATGATTTATGATCTCAACTATATATTATCAATCATCTCTCAATTTTCCCAATTCATTGATCTGTTGTTTTGCTTAACAAATGTTTTGTTTTTCAAAACTGCTAAACCTTTTTATAAACTTCGATATAGTTACGAAAAGAAGAAGTAGATCAGTAAAATAAGACGTATTTGCCCAGTATACTTCGAATTATCTGGTCATATATTTACTTGTCATGATATTCATAAATGGAAAATAATTAAGATCAATTAAATGAAATAAATATATCATATTAAATGACAGATAATTACCATTTAAACATTAAAAATTAAGAACACGAAGTTCAGCGAAGGGATCTCTTTTCAACGAATTTATTATCAAGCTGTACAATCGTATATATATATGAAAATGTTTAGTCAAAGTACTAATTCCGTGAGGAAATGTGAACACGAATAACCAAGATTACGTAATAGAAATCTAAATCTAATGTTATTACTCGTATTACGTAATCTGACATCACATTAAAGTACATTTTATAATTATTTACTATAGAATCATTAATAATTAACAGATCACATACTTGAGTTCATCAAATTCTTCAGTTTTTTCATTAAATTCTTTTTCATATTTTGATTTAGTTTGTGTTAATTCACTTGTAAGTCTAGTAACTTGAGTTTGAAGTTTTACTACACTTTCAGCTTCATCATCTGCTCTATGAATTAATGTATCCAATTCTTGTTGCACTGTATTTAATTTACTTTGTACTAAAGTTCTAGTCTATAGAAAATGAGACAAAAATATTTTTTTAATGAATTGTAAATAGTTGATTATCTGTATCATTAAAATGAACATAAATTTTATTGATTTGACAGTTTTAAGATGAACATTTAACCGTCTTTTTTATGTCATTAGGATTTAGTATCCAGACTAACTATTAATGTTCCCTTCCAATAGATAACAGGACGTAACTTTGAATAAACATAGATAAAACTGATTTCTATTACAGAAAGACGGACTGGTAACTCCATCCGTAGCTCTCCAAGGGTTACTGCCGGTCCACAGCCCGAATAAAAAAGAGGAGGTTTGGGCATGAGGTCAGCAACCACATCCCATAGAAAACAACTTTGCTAAAAAAACACTAGTAAGACAAACTGATCCCAACATGGACATGTGATCGACTCACCTAGATCAATTATTCACTTACTGAATTAAGTTTTTTTTTATGGAATACCCATAAATCCTTATGTAATATAGGTGTTTACTTTGATATTTTTTGGCTTCCACAGTATTTCATTTATTCATTTATTTTCATTGTTCTACTGTTTATGTTAACTTAATGCACTTACTAATACATAAAGCACATCATAAAATGGTAATAGATACAATGATCATATATTCATATCCTATTACAATACTTACACCCTAAACCTATTACTTAGATTGTTCATAGGTAAGAGACTGAAGTGAAAATCTATTATGAGATATAATAAATATTTTATGACAAACTTTCGATAAAAGGAATAAAAGATTGACGTTATATGTCAACTTTTAGATAAATGTAAAGTTTTAGTCATAAATATCAGTTCCCTTTGGAAAGTATTCATTAACTCCACATGAACAAAAGCTTATCTTTGTTGCTATTTAAGAGTTTCTTCCGAGAAAATTTTTTTTTAGTTTTAACAACCCTAAAATAATCTTGTTTCAGAAGCCTATTTTATCTAAGCAACTATTGTTTATTTTAGATTTGGTATCTCATAGGTCTATCAGCTTAATGAACTTATTATAGAGAAGAAATACGGTAAGTTTGGAAATGCATGGTCATCTTTCCGAATTGATATAAAGAAAATTAGTTATGATTAATTAGAAAAGCAGAATTATTGACATGTTATCAACTTCGAGAATGCCAAAAGACAGAACACGTAATTAATAAGAAACTTAACTCAGTAGATAAAAGACTTATAAGCAAACAGCTAACTCAAAATAAACATGGCTAAAAGTTATTTGATGAGTATAAACTCATGTAGAATGTATTTTGGGGCTGGAATCGTCTTTAACGATCTGTTATTAAATGTTCACTGTAACGTAGTCCAACATGTTGGATCAAGCGCACAAAACAACCAGGACTCTGGAATAGATTTTGTCTCTCACTCCAAACCTATCGACCCAAGCCTATAATCTTTGGGCCTCATAACTTGATTTTAACTGTCGAACCACGGTTTTTGTAACCAATTTTTAAATAACTTATTTCAGTCAATTTGAGATATCGTATAACCATCATTCATGGTCATTTGTACCATACTCAACCTGAGTGATCTCCAGCGGTCACTACTTCTCATTAGGACTCTTGAATCTACCGCTCTCAGTTATTAACTAATATGGACAGGATGATTGTTACTTAGGACGTTTAATGGACTGCCGGATTGAAGTTTCACATCACTGACTGACTTTGATTTGGCAAACATGAAGAAGCTGTAGACTAGGACTTCTGAGACGTCATATGCTAGGATGAAATAACTATTCAGTACTTCTGACTCTTTAGCAAACAAAAACTTAAAATTCAATATTCAGCATTATCATTTTGTGAAAACTTGACAAATGGGATTTAGCTGACGTTTTTCAATGGGCTATTTTGTTTATTGGTTTTTTCTTTTATTTAAAAAACTAACATACCTTTATTTCTTCTTCTAAAGCTCTCTTATGGTCTTCTGCTACTGATTCAGCAATAGATTGCGCTCTCTGACAACTTGCCAATGATGTATTTAACTTTTCTATAGTTCTAGCCTGTTCAGTTGCTTCAGCAATGAGTTGAGCATTTTGTGAATTAAGTTCTGTAATACGTTTCTGACTCTCTTCATAGTTTGCTCGCAGTCTTATAGTTTGAGATTCAAGTGTTTCTTGTTTTGATTGAGCAACAGTCTGGTTAGCAGAGAGAAAAAACCGTTTCTTTATACATGGAGTTTAACAGTTGTTCAACTTTTTCATATGGACTAAGTGGGTCATGGTGTCGTTCAACATTAGACCGGCATAAAATAAAATACTTTAAATACATATACACAATATAAATATATTTTAGGGATTGTAAGTCAATTGCTCTAATGATTTTTAACAATTGTTAGCCTTTTAACACTAGTGAATTGGTTTCAGATAACATTTTATTGAATAAGCTAAAGTTTATTTAGAATAAGACCATTATTCAATGTAGAATAAATGTATTTAGGATAAATGTATTGAGATACAGTTACAGTCTGTCTCTTATGTCCAGCAAATCCGTATATGTCGATCTTTTCACTTACGTGGAGTCGTATATTTGTTATTTAGGTCTTCTAAACAGAAACATTGTATTACGGTGAGGCAGAGAAAACTTAATTGTTTATACCATTCGCTATTAGGTGACAGTTAGGAGTTCAGAAAATTAATAATTTTTTTCATTCATCGAACATCGGTAACACTGCTAAGCTAATCAAAATCAATTTGGTAATTTTTGGGTTTTGTGTGATAATACAGGTTAACATCTATAAAGTGAATAATATTGCAAAGTATACATATATTATTTTTCAAATAACTTGGAATTAATAAGAAGTCTATTGTGACATTGATAAGTCTTGTTGATTGAACGCTATACTCGGATCCTAAGCTAGTCTCGTAACCTCCAAGCCAGAACTACACAGCGACTTGAACACGAGAGAAAAGGCACAAAATATGCGTGAAGCACTTTACTCCAAGGGTTCATTTATGTACAGAAAATATAGGGTTTTTATAGTATTTTAAAAGCCCTTGGGTTTTACTGAAAATTCTAGAATACTACTAAACATAGTAGCAGTGTAGTAATCAGCCAACCAGAACCTCTACATGTGACTTCATTTTCGTGGTATTTCTAGCAAAACTTCTAATCAAACGCTGATTGTATAAAATGCTTCTTAATGTTTTCCTGAGTTTGTCATGTCTATTGCGAGTAATTTGCAGGATCATCTCAACAGGCATCATAATCCGTCATATACCCTTGAAAATCACATAGGATACAGGAAACCACCACAGTGTTTTAATTTTCATCACCGTTTCAGTCACAAATTTCTTATTTTAACAATCTAGTATCATTATCAACAAGGAGTAAAAAAGTACGAGTATTATTCACAGCGTAGTTTCAAGTCGATAGTAAAGTTTTATCTACAGATTACACATCCAAATTAGCCTCATCACTTCAAATGGTGATGGATTAATTTTGAAGATACTTTTCTAATTGATGAACCATTTAAAAAGTATTGTTGGCAGAAAGTCAGAAAGAGTCTAAAACTGGAGAACTGCCATTACTTGAAAGAATACTTAACTTTTCTCAGTTTTTAGTTGATGATTTCCCAAGATCATTTTAGTCAGATGGTTTTCTCGTCTAGTTTACACCCACTATCTGGTTTTGATATTCTAATATACTTTGTTTATGGAAGAACATTTATTATTAACTCTTCATTATGTCACAGTATTAAAATTTTATGGTGGTATGAAAGTAACTGAAAGGGTATAAAAAGATTTTTGTCTCCATGATATATAACGCAATCACGTCAGTTCTTGAAAATAAAAATATATCTGTCTTGACCAATATTCTCACACTGGGGTACATTTGAAATACGAAGAAAGTTTTGACTGAGTACATTGTGAGAACAGCATCATTTGATCTATGCTAGCATATTACCTATTTGAATATTTTAAAGTTTGAATCGTTAAGTGTTAAGTTCAGGTTCAAGTGGATAAGATTGAAATCAGTGAGTTTCTGAGATACATCTAGTTGTAGAATGAATACATATTTTATATTTTTCTTTTACCCACTATTAAATGCAATCAAATATTGTAAACGGCTATTTTTTAAAATAAATAAATTCAACAACTAGGCAACCAATGTCCTAACTTAAATTCAAGTTCACGTTCATTTATCCGTAGCAATCTGAACCTTGTAGTGTCGATTGATATGTTAGACAAATATACCTTATTATAGCTTCAGGACAAGCCAATTTACCTACCTATCATGAGTCATGTTTAGACCATGTTAGTTATTCACTTATCAACCATGACTGTCTTTATATGAGCGCATAGGTGTGTGTATACTTTTCATCGTATTCATCCCATGTCTGTAATTTATTTTTCTCTAACTATAAATATTGATCAATGCTTGATAAAAGCAAGTTGGCTTATCCACCATCTCCTATGCGTGTCATTTCTGCTTCTCTCTCTTCTATTCGCTTCATTCCTCTGATTTCCTGTCTAGATCAGTGAATGTACAAAATATGTATTCGAAATCGATTCTCGTATTTGACTTATTTAACTCCGTTATTCATCAATGCGGATTAAGTTACGTATTACATACAAGAATAGATAGGATGTGTATTTTGACAACGATCATTCAAACGATCTAATTAGAGTCAGATCATAGCCCTAACAACCTCATTTAAAAATAAACATATGGATTACTGTGACACATTTTCCTAAATTTCTAGACTACCATTTTGGAATAGTAACATTAAAAATTCACTGCTTATCCAACAGTCTATAGATTCTGTGAAGTTTTCAATAGACGCTTTATTCAACAAATATTATGAAGATAATTGCCTTCACTTAATAAACTAAAGTTTATTTACAATTGCACAATTAGCTGACATCTTCACATAAACGTTATATATGTAATGATGTATCGTCTTCAGTTCAAAAAATGAATCTATCTCTAGCACTAACCTAACAAATATAAATTCTTTAAAAATTAAATTATTACTTACTTTCGCCTTATTAGCATCCTCAACTTCAGCAAAAGCATTTTCCAGTTGTCTAGCCATTTCAGATCTTTCTTTTTCAGCTCTAAATATTCAACAAATTTAAACACAATTATTAGCGTTATCTAACATTTTAGCAATAACCAACCTGAATAAATAAATAATGAAAATTGACTGAAACTCAATGGCTGTTTAAAATGTATAGCACTAATTTTAAAGCGGTAAAGAGGGTATTCAATTCGTCTTTACTTTATGCCAACAACGGCGAAATTACGACGAGAATGAATTTATGAAAACAAATCCGATTGAATTTTAAGTGAATAAATCCTAAGGAGAATTCATAGTATAAAGAAGCAGTACTGACTGACATATCTGATCAGGCATAATATCAAATATATTCTAAAAATAATCACTAACTTGGATTTGGCCTTTTGAAGAACATTTATTTCAAGATTAAGATCATTGACTGTGGTTTGATGACGACGTCTTAAATTTTCCAAACTTTCTTCATTTGCGTCACGAATTGTACCCAGCTCTCTATGAACACGAGCAAACTCTTGCTCTCGTCTTTTGATAGTTTCCTCCTTTTATAAAACAAATGTGGTATATTTGAATTGATTAACCATTTTTTAAACATTAAACCAGTTAATATTCCTATATTAATAATAAACTACAGCATATTATCTACGAATGCAAATCGAAAGACTTGGTTAGTATGTTTGTAAAAATATTCGCTGAAAAACTAATATGTATATAGTACGAAAATGCTTTCACAATAGTAATCAAGGTACGTCACCAACCGCAATTGTGCACTTGTTTTGATAATTTTAATCCGTCCTAAAATATCGACGTTAGGATAATGAACAACATATTTTGAGAATTGCCTCTGGTTTTATAAATAGTTACATTAATAGTCAAACAGAGCTCCCCGAATTTATCAGAATACCAAATTCTTCAGTCAATTGCGTGTCAAAGGCCTTAAGTGAGAGAATATAAAATGATGTTTGTTCAGTTTATACCGACAAAATCTTCATTATATTACATTTCAGTATCATTCATAAAAAAACCGAACTATCCAGCTTATTGCCCCCAAATACCCTGGTATGGTCGAGGGTGGGGAGATTCTACTCTTCCTCTCAAAATGCTCTCACATGGCCTTGCATATGTAGCCACTACCAAGGGAGTTCTACTCACTGCCTTCTCGCGGCTTTACTGTTGTTTGCAAAACTGAGAGGAGAAAAAGAAAATGTCCGGCGCTCGAAAAATTATAATGTCTCAACTGAAATTAAAGTAATATGCTATTGAATTAGAAACAGTAATTCACTTTAAGGTTCAAATTACCTATCAAATTTATCATTATTCGTACAAATCAATGTTTTAATTAATTGACATTCATGAAAGCACCTACACAATTTCAAGTTTACAGATTTCCTAGAATGATTTTTATAATCAGCAAATAATGTTATAGTTTGGTACCTAATCTTTACAGTCAAATATATTTCTCTATATTACATTGAATGAGACAGTTAAATTATTGAATTTCTGTTAATTCTTTCATATTATCAAGCCTTCTTAAGTTTCAAAGTACATTCAGACATGTTTTTGAATCAAATATTGAAAAGTATTCTATTTCAAATAAATAAGTAATTTTAATAGTTGAGATCATGAAGCTAGATCACGATGAAAAACCTGGAAGCACTGGACGGCCGTTTCGTCCTATTGTGGGACTCCTCGGCACTGCGCATCCACGATCCCTCCTCCCGAAATTCGAACCCAGGACCTATCAGTTTCGAGCGCGAGCATTTAACCACTAAACCACTGAGCCGGCATCCACTGGTGTTATTATCTAACTTCAACCAGTCCACGAAACTGGGCAACCATTAATCAATGTCTTCAGTGAGTTGATATCTCACAACAGACCTAGTTGAACTTGATTGGTTACTGCATCTCACTAGAACTCCAGGAAATACCTCATGGAGCCAGGTCTTCCATGGTGATCTAGCTTCAAGCGATTCATGATCTCAACTATTAAAATTACTATAATATCCACAAAACCCCTTCTGATAATAAATAAGTAGTAAGTTTGAACTTCTCAATGACTACTATCTTATCTATAACTACCATCTAAGTAATTATTAAATTGTACTATAATATATCTTTATGAAAATATTTAAGATTCAGAAGAATTTTACACTTACTTGTTGACTTATTTGTTCTCTAGCATTTTGAAAATCTGCATTTAAAATATCGAATTCAGCATTAATTTCAGCAAGCTCCCTTTCTGTCTAAAATTAATTATACATAATAATAAATATAAGAATTTTATAATGATGTAATAAATTCGGTTTGAAAATTGTTTTATTTAGTGATATTATGTAATAGAAGTAAAATATTTTTTATCACTTAAAAAGTTATCAGAGGGGGTTTTGTGGAGATTTAGTATTTTCATAGTTGCAAGCATGAGTCAATTGAGGCTAGACCAAGTTTCCCTTGGTGGTCTAGCTTCAATTGGCTCACGCTTGCAACTATGAGAATACTTAAAAAGTTGTTTTTTTCACGTATAGATGTGTGGTGTTTGAATGAACCAATGACTCCTTTGTATTGATGAGTGTTTGAATTTTGAATTTCAAATACGGTAAATTCGTTCGTGCTCATCTAATACTTCTTGATTAAATTGCGTTATTGCTGGGATTATTAGCTTATACTATAATTCAAATTATCACAAGATGCCTTCTAATTTTTGAGAAATTGTTTTGTAAAAGTAAGTTATCCGTTACAAATGATCATAAATAAGTGGTTAAGTAGAATAGTCACCAAATCTGTAGGTAGTGATATGCTTTACTATATGATAGATAGTGAACATAATATTAAAATAGAGAAAGCTTTCACAGTTTTATACCAAGTCTAGAATGATTTCGCAAATGACTTAAGATTAATCCCCCCCTATTAATATCAGTTGGAAGAAACCGGATTTATGTGTGAAACCTTTTTTTTGTTTAAATGGTCACACAATAGGATTCTTCCATTTTGAACACGGTCAATATTATCAATATATACTGTTAATCTTTACTTTCTCTTTTTGTGTATATCTTTATCCTAAATCTTCCTAAGACATATTAATAATTGCACATTTATCTTCTTTAGTTCATATGTCATTTTGGTGTTATCAACTTTCCATCTCACTATCATAATTATTACACAAACTAGCATGACATATTACATATATTCTATACAGTTTTAATCTATTGATTTGAACTCATTACCTTAAGGTATAATTTTCTCTTTTCCAATCTAATCTGACCTTTCAAATTTATTGATAATGCTTATAATGTTTTTGAATTAAGGCTATATCGAGGCAATACGCACAGTATGTACATATGGCCAATAATAGACTGACAAGTTGCAGTCCTAAACATCAATAGGAAGATACAAACAAATAATACTAAGTGAATTCAAACTTCACCTCATCGCACAAGCAATTGACTATCGAGACTCAGTAGCTGAGTGGATAACGCGATGGCGTTTGAAGCGAAAGATACTGGTTTCGAGTCCCAGAGTGAAGATTAACTCTGAGATGCAGGTACATCCAGTTAACGAGTCCTAAATAAAACAAAACACGCGTTCTGGATTCTAATGCTGGCCATTATCCACCTTTAATTATAATAATGCTTTTTGTTAATATTTAAGACAGTCCGTATGTAGTCCACTAATATTCTATTAATAACACTGATTAATTCAATAAGGCCTTTCAATGTGTACCCTAAAATATGATCTTTTGTAACGCTAAAATTACAGATTTATCACTGTAGAATAATTCACTGAAAACAATTCTTCACTCAAATATTTCAGATTCTGAATATGAATAAATTGCTAATATCCTCTTCGTAGATTTTGCTTGTATTTGCAAGTAAACAGACAGAGGAAATATTTTTAGATTTGGAACTTTATTTTTACTAGACGTCTAAGAATTTATTTCATTCACAAATTTAATGGCACGTTGTTTATGGAGATTAATTCCCACAATCCACAGTATAATATAGATATTTTCTGCAGCAAAGCTGAGATTGACGTTCACTTATGAAAACTTGTTTTCTGCATTCATAAAGAATATGCTTCCTCGTTTGGTCTCCTTCATAAGCAATCTACCAGTTCACCTGTTCTTGTGGAGCAAGGTAGATAGGCTGTAGCTAGCGCTCACCTTTAACTCGGATACGAGAACATGTTCCAGTGTGGTTCTACATGGGTGAGAGGGAAGCAGTTGAAAATTCCATTCTTGGACATATATGTGACTCTAATCATTCCACCGATCCACAGGTTGATTTTAAGGTTATTTATGCAATTCGTCCAAATGTACCTAGATTTTTTCTTATCCAACTCCTTGAAATAGCAGAGTCTCTTAACATCTATCAGCTCAAGTCAGAACATTGGCCTTAATGTATTATTATCATTGCATTTCGCATTTGAAAATATTTCCCTCTCCTTTTATTTATGTCTCATATCCTCATGATTTTATCCACAATTGCTCATGATATCACTACATTTAGTTTTACACCTCTATTACCTTTAATCATTGTAACAAAATCAGTTGGATCACCTTACTTTATTCGCATTATAATCCGTTACTAATTCTCTAGTTTTACAAGGTTTTCTATTTTCCCACATGCAATCTTTTATTGTTACTATTCATATTACGTAATTTAGAATCATAAACTTATTACGTCATCACGTTTATTCCTTATTCATATGTCTTAACAGAACTAGTAGTTTAACAAAAAGTTTTCATATATATACGGCTGTGCAGCTCGATAATAAATTCGTTGAAAAGAGATTCCATCGCTGAACTTCGTGTTTTTAACATAGATGTGAAACATAGACCTGGATTGTTGTATGTTTATCACCATTGGTGGTTAAGCAATATTCAAAATTGATCAAGGTTGGAAATGCAAATCATAAGATGTGAACTTAGCAGTCTAAAAACTAAACGATTTCCGAGAGGTATGAAGGTTTCGGGTTTGATCCTTGGTCAGGCCATGTTTGAGTTCGGCTGTGGAATCCCATACTAGGATTCAACGGCTACCATGTTTTTCCTGGTTTTCAAAAGAATTGTTTTCTTAGACATTGGGAAGATTTCACAAATTTTAAGGAAATTTCAATCTCCATGGAAAGCCTAGAAGCACTGTACGGCCGTTTCGTCCAGTGCTTCCAGGCTTTCCATGGTGGTCTAGCTTCAATTGATTCATGATCTCAACTATATATTCTATTATTCTAAATAATTTTAAATATAAAACAATTAGAGTAAAATAGTATAAACAAAACATTTTTAATATGATAGGGCACCCATCATAATTCAATAATATATTTCGTATACCATCTATCGGTCACTCTTTTGATCGTATTCATCACATATAATGAACATGGGAATATGAATCAATCTTATCATAACAATAATAATGGTTATCATCATTAGTAGTAGTAGTATTGTTAGTATTAGTATTAGTAGTAGTAGTATTAGTGTTACTTCAAGACAACATACAACAACAAATACTAAAATGAAAGGAAAATATTCCAGTTGGTCAAATAAATAACTGTCAAAATTACAAAATCATAAAACTGTTTCGGTATTTTTCTTTTCACTTTACAGGTTATTAACGAAAAAAAGATACCCAAATATTATATCAGTTTTCATGCTGATTGTAATCATAAATGTCGTTAATTAGTTACAATACATGTGTTTTTAGTACATAAAATACAGTTTTCTTAACTTTTGTCTTATAATTTTCTTTGGGAAAATTATCACTCAACTGAAGATCTTATTCAGATAGGACATTTTTGAAGATTAGTTAAAGTTTAAAGATGATACAAAGTAATAAATAGGGTAAGATGAATGAACCAAAATGACACACTTTAGTAGCTACTTTTGAGATCAATACTTATAATTTTAAAGTACATTTATCAAATACTTACTTTATAATGTTTTCGGATCCTTCACATTGTAAGCTTTCGTTTGACTAATTATCAACTACTGTTATACTATTTTTCTTCGTTCCCGAATTGCCGTTAATTATTAATAACCTTATTTTTGAGTCAGATATACAGTGGTTATATAGTGTGTTTTATTTCCATATTCTGAGCTGGTCTTACGGAAAGAGATTCTCTGTGAGGCAATGAGTTATATCATATTACTTAGTTGGCCATCAGTATTAATGTTTTAAGCAAAGTATTTTGAGATCATATGAATAACGTTTAACAAACAATAATTAAATATGGATATTTTTGTTAATAAACTATCCTTTTTATGGTACGGTGCCGTAGTGGAGTTTGTCACTAGTTTCCATTGTTAAACCTTTCATAACATTTCATGATGATAATAAAATAAATTTGAGTAATTGCTCATAAACCGAACATACATAACGCTGTTACGTAATAATTAGGCTGAATTAAAAAACTGATGAAAGTTTTCAGTGAATTGCATCATATCATAAATTGAGCCTAAGTCAGTTAAGATTAAGGAATTGATAAGAGTTTTAGCTACTAGTTAATTTAATACCTTGAGACTTTGTTTTAAGAATAATATTTTGTAAAGTAACTACACAGTAATTTAATTAGTATATTGTTAGAGTATTTCTATACTTTAATATACCTTATTGACTATACGATAGCATGAATAAACACTATCTTAACCAAATTTTATAAAATATTTAGAATAAAGAAAAACTTCAAAGAAGATAACCTCATGACTTGTTGACAAGTTATATGTTCCAATTCTAGTAAAAATCACATTAAAACTGTTAATTAAATAAGTTGTTTTTAAAACAAATATTAACTATACCTTTATTCGTAGAGAACGTTCTTCATCCAATTGATCTTCAAGATCTTTCACTCTTGTCTAGAATATAGAAAGACATCAAACACGTAAATGAATACTATGAATGATAGTGTAAAGTGATGATTAAATAGCGTATTTAACTTCTTTAGAAGTTATCAAATGATATTCATCCTTAGATTTGTTAAAATTAAACTATGGTTAATTATTTCGTTTACTTACAAGATTAAATAATATGGATTAATTTCGTTTTGTCTTTGGTTGATCGCTATGAGTTTTGATTTTGTTATAAAAAATACTTTTAAACCATACTTATTACTAAGCAAAAATGTATGGTGGCTAGCAGTGGAATTCAGGACGCGCATCTCGTCCTGCTTGAGACTCATCACCTGGATGTACTTGCATCTCACAGTTGATGTTCACTCTGAGACTCGAACCCAGTACCGTCCGCTCCAAACACCATCACGTCATCCACTTAGCTACTGAGTCCTGACATCCATCAGTCCCAAATGGGACGAAACGTGTGTTCTGGATTCCATTGCTAGCCATTATCCATCTTTGTTTATAATGCTTGTGAATTAAGGCTATATCGAGGAAATATGCACAATGTGCACATAAGGCAAAAAGAGACTGATCAACTGCAGTCCTCAACAACAATGAGAAGATTCAAACAAACAATACAAAATGAATTTATGCTTATTACTCTTTTATGATTTCTATATTTCAAATCGTTTACTATATGAGAAATTCGGAAAAGTAAAGTATACATTGTATTTCCAAATTAGATTTAATGTTCATTTTAAAATATCCATTCTCGACACAGAAAATAATTGTTTTGAACTAATGAATATATTTTTTTTGAATCCCTTATTATATGAATAATTTCAAATACATTTAGTATACAGTGTATTCTTGTATCTAGATAACCTATATCTTAAAAGCATCATATCAGTTATAAATAAATTAATATATGTGTAATATCTCAATGAGTAGAAAAATTTGATTTTCTGATGTTTCGTGACTCAGTGTAAGCTACTTCTTCAGAGAATAAGTATTTATTATTTATTCTCTGAAGAATTAGCTTACATTGAGTTACGAAATGTCAGAAAATCTAATTTTTTTCTACTCATTCGGATATTACACATATATTAATTTATTGATAACAATCTACTCAATGTTCAATTTATTCAAAATTGTCAAAGCCAAAACTTGATAATGATACCTATCATATCAATTAGGTTTAATTTATAATTTTAAGAATCGATTAAATTACAATAATGTTTCTCTTATTCATTACAAACAAATTAAGTGACTTTTTTTCTGTTTAAATAAACAAAGTCAATTGTTTCATGAATTTGATGTACTTAAGAGAAAACATTCATTAAAAAAAAAAACTTTTTTTTTGTTTTACAAATAAACAGTTGTGAATATATCGACTTATGGACTGTTAAAACTTTAAATAATTGACATTATGAAAACATTGAAATAAAATTTATAATTGAATTACAGTTTAGAATAGATCATTTTAATACAATTGAATATATTAAATAGGAATAATATATATTTGTAAAATCTCAGCGAATTAATTTGTAGTAAATCCAACGTTTCGCCTGGCAATCTGGTCCAAGCTTTTTCAAGGAATTATAATCAAACATCAAAATTATCGAATATAAATAGGTAGTACATGGTTCTCCGAGTTCATTATACACTGAATAGGTCATCCAATCAAAGTTAAAAAAAAGTCTAAACTAGGTATATGTATTAGTGTACAAGAGACTTGTGATGTAAAATGATAAATGTTAAGATAACTTATTGTATATATACATAAGTGGTGAGAGGAGAAAGGTCATTTACAATATATTGTCTCCTGTCAGTGAATTTTTATAGAAAAACACATTCAGTGTACAATGAAGCGAAGAACCATGTACTACCTATTTATATTCAATAATTTTGGTGTTTGATTATAATTCCTTGAAAAAGCTTAAACCAGATTGCCAGGCAAAACATTGGATTTACTACAAATTCATTCACTGAGATTTTACAAATATATTATTTTTATTTAATGTCTTACATCAACTCGGCACTTAAATACTGTGATACTAATCGCTTGAATTTAGACGAAAGTTCTTATATATTCTTATATACAATTGAATAATTTTGTAAAATGTGCTTTAACCTAACATAATGTCAAACTGCCTATTGTTCTGTTCTTTTATTAAAGTAAAATAATTATCCATGAAAGTTCAAATATTTTAATTAAACTAAATGGTTGTCATGGTAATTTACTTCTAATTTTAATTAAATGAAATATACATAACTTTTTCACTAAGTAATAAAAAAAACGCATCAATTTTAGTTAACAAATTCAAAGTTTTTTTATGTATATTAAACTTTAAAATTTTAAATATAAACCTCTTTTTAAGATATTCTTTATAATGTCTACTGAATTGGAATGAATTCATTGTGTATAGATTACTCATACTGCTGTGTGGGTTACTCTACCTGTAAATTTTTTAGACTGTGGAATAATCTACCACAAACTATCCGTACGATAAAATCTCTCCCATTATTCGTTCGCTGCATTGATGTATACTGCTCCTTTGAAAATGCATTAAATGTTCTAGCGCCTATAAGTGTATCTTACTCCACAAGTGAGATTATAGGAATTTTAAATGTTTAACCACTTACTTCCTGTCACTTTAAATTAACACTGTCCCTAGCAACCTTAACTCGTTTGAATAATATCTAACATGAACAGTGGTAAACCTGACAGATATATTTTGGCAATCATTGTTTTGTTTTTCCGTGTTCTCTGCTTTAATTTTACTTTCTCTAGTTGTAAATAATTATCAACAATCCGTCCTGGCACTGGAAATAACCTTAAAAAATACCGTTCATAAATCATCAGGCTATCCACTTAAGAAAAAGTTAAAAGTTCCCTGCTGATGTATTGGATTGCCGTGATACATGTCATAAATAAAATACCTAACAATTACTGAACCAGTAAACATAAAACAATCTTATGTCACATGTTTGTTCTCTACATCAAATGTTGCTATTTATATCAAAATGATCATGCCTGTAAACTGGTGTGAATCCTGTAATTATTATTTTCAGAATATATTATTAGTGTTATATCCACATAAGTAGTATATGGTGATGGTCAGGCATAGAACGTATTTTACTAAAAGATAGATAAGGAAAGAACCGAAACAGAACACAATTAGTATGAAAATGAATGAACAATAATAATCAGAGAGTATGGATTGATATTTGCAGAAGGAATGGTCATGATTGAGACAATCAATTGATAGTTTGCAAATTAACCGTTTACTGTATGGTTGTCAGATTTTAGTGAGATAGTCTGTAATTTTCGTATCAAATACATTCGATTGTCCTCATTCGTCTTTCCGTTCATCACAATAGTATATCGAAACAGTTTTCACTGATTATTTTCATAGTTCATAAATTCCTATATATTCTTTAATTATTCATAAACATGTTAATGTCTTAGTTAAAATGATGGATATCTTGAAGTTTATCTTTTGCTTATATAATATTTTCCTTTTTTGATGTATTTACAATAACCTTCATTCATTCAAAGATGCCTCGGATTTTGGCCACCTGAAATTTTATAATTACCCTGATGATTACTTTACATATTTGTCTTGTAAGTATTACCTATGCTTCTTGAGAAATCCATTTGTCATTAAACGCAAACTTGGATGTAAAACAAAATATTTTTTAGAAAATCTCTTCGATTACGTAATATAAATTATTGAAATTGAAATAAAACTTAGATAATTGTAGTTTTTGTACTGGCAAATTCTAACTAATAGACCTGAAACTATGTTAACTAAACTACATAACCCAACTGATTATTAATTCATTCCCCTGGTAAAACCGAGATGGCAGTTAAGTTTTGTAGTTATCCGATTGATATCGATACCTTGCCACAATCCAAGTTTTCCATTAGCTAAACTCATTCTCCATAAGGAAATCCATCTATTTAAACATTCATTAGATATGTAAGACATTTGTGATAAACCAATATAGACATCAGCGGGAAAATTAACATGAGAAATAACAACTTTTACGTTATACTTGTCAATAATTTTTCGAACTAACTAGATAATTGAAATTCACCTGGTATTGTTTACTTAGATCTTCTCATTGATGTTGAGGACTGCAGTTGGTCAGTCTCTTTTTGCCTTATGTGCACATTGTGCATATTTCCTCGATATAGCCTTAATTCACAAGCATTATAAACAAAGATGGATAATGGCTAGCAATGGAATCCAGAACACACGTTTCGTCCCATTTGGGACTGATGAATGTCAGGACTCAGTAGCTAAGTGGATGACGTGATGGTGTTTGGAGCGGACGGTACTGGGTTCGAGTCTCAGAGTGAACATCAACTGTGAGATGCAAGTACATCCAGGTGATGAGTCTCAAGCAGGACGAGATGCGCGTCCTGAATTCCACTGCTAGCCACTACACATAGTTGCTTAAAACGAGATCATTTTATTACATTAACTCCAATTTCTTAACTTCCTCTGTATAATTAAAATAACATCCACATTATCATGTTCATCAAAGTTCTTTTTTTATTCAACATGTAATGAATAAAATGTATTTTCTTTCTCTTATTTTTAGAAGAAAAAAAACAGTAGAACTAAATAATGATAATGATTGGAATCTGTTAATCTGTTATATTTGTCAGTATCTTAGACAAGTATTTGCATTACTCATTTAACAATACAATCCATAGAGTTTGCTTGTCCAAGAAATGGCCGAATATTTAAAGTGCCAACTGTTAGTAACAAATGTTGGTGTTAATGAACAAAATAAGTCAGACAATATGATCAAATGAATTTTTTCATTTAAAATTTATATCACAAATATCTTGGTTGTACTTTTGTGTTCGAGTGAGCTGACTCTGATTTGAGTGAACGAAAAAATATGCAATGAATACAAATTTTCCATTTAACCACGTATATTACACTTAATTCCAACCCAGTTTGTGCGACGGCGATAATCAGATGCCAAATATGAATTCAGTTGGGTGAGTTTATTTCATGAACTCATTTAATCAGCGAGATATTAATGGTTGGAACCGGAGAAGTCGAGAATGCCAACTCTGTTTGACAAGTCATGACCCATTATTTATAGTCAGACAAAAATATAGTACAGAAATAAGATGAGTAGCGTAAGCGATACAACATATACGCTTAAACAAAAACAGTCAAGCTTATAAGCAAATAATTGACAAGGTCAAAATGTGACTTGAGATCAAATTAATTAGTCTGTCCGATAACTCGATTGACCCATGTAGGCATAATGTAGAACTAGACTCTACAGTACAAATAGAAAATTTTTTCGGTATTTCAGAAAAAAATCCGATTGTTCCAAGAACTCTGAGTATTTCAGGATTTCTTATTAAGCAAAGCTTATGTAAACAAACATTGCAACAAGTTTATCAACAGATTGGTTCAGTAAGCTATAGAGGAACTACGAGGTTACAATTTTTACGTCCTCCAGCTCTTTTATTAGTAAGGCTCCTACATAATGTCTTTACATAAGTTATCAAGTTAACTCACCTCTAGTCTTATTGTTCCAGGAGATGAAGATCTATATAGACCTCGTCCCATGACGATAGTCCGATCACGATCATCGAGTTGAATAGCAGCCATTATTCACTCTTGAACTATAAAGATGATTCTTCGTCAATTTGAGTTTCGAAAAAACAATCACCGAAAACCTCGAGTTTCTATGCTTTTGTTTAGAAAGTCAAAAGCGTTAAAGGACTTGGTAATGTAATGTATGGATTGGTAATGTATGGATTTATTATGAACTTAAGTCGTAACAATAAACAATCTTCTTATGACTTATTTTGATGGTGGTTAACTTATTGATTTGTCACTGGGGTAGTGATTTGGGGCTGTCTAAATATTAAAAAAGGTATTAGTTTCCAAAATTTACCCCTCAATATTTCTTTCACTGGTTTACCTGTAACACTAGTAGCACATGTGTGTTTGCACGTTAATCCCCCATGTATCTCTCACCTCTCATCGAATACAACTTTCAACTTTTCTTAGCTCTTCCTATTCGACCAGTCATTGTACCCCATCAGTCATTTAGACTAATCAATTTTTCTATTGGTTGTTTATATTTTCACAGTCTGACTTCCTATCTTGAAAGGTAGGATAAGTGATAGAACAAAATATTTAATCGATAATATGTTAGACACATTTGATCTAAAGATGCTAATCAAGCACATTCATTATGAATTACTGCTTTCTTAATTAGTCGTGCATCAGTGGTGCTAAAATCAGTCATCCCGTTGGAATGACTTCACAATTTAGGCAATCTAAGGAGAATTTTAAAACATGTGATATATGGGCACAATGCATTTCGAACTATTTGGTCATGTATTAAGTTGTTAACTTCTTAAAATCTTTTGGTTCTAAACACCCTCATTTATATGGCTTGCATGAAATTCACAAAAACTGACAATCCTCGACGTCTCATTCTTACGTTGTATTGGTTCCCCACATATAATCTTGTAAAATAGCTATCGAAACTACTTAAATTTATTCAAAGATCTAAATATTATCTGAAGGAGTCGTTTGAGTTGACAGCTTTCTCAGGTAATATCAACGCTAAGAAGACAATATATTCTTTCGATGGGAATTCTACTTAGCACAACATTGTTGGATATCTATGAAAGTCTAGAAACTGTTTAAAGGGTCATCCTGTGTTAAAATATACTATGCTTTTGGCACCTAAGTAGCTTGTCTAAATCACTTAACCTTTCAGAACTTTGCCAAATAGTCTTGTGTGGAATCGATTGTCAGTAGAATGTTCTATTCAGCCAAGATCATTAAAACAACGTCCATGCTTAATCAAATACCTAAACAGCAAGTAAACGATTGAGTGACCAAATGACGCTTCTTGTTTAAGCTTTCTAGTCTCTGTTACATTAAATCATTGAACGATTTTAAACTAAACAAATTATAAACGTTTGCAAATCTTACAACAAAAACATATAACGATTTCAAAGATCACTTTACTTAGGATTTATTGATATAAGGTTTATTATTTATCAAAGACTCGGGAATATCACCAGGAATCAGTAGTCTAATCTGAATTATTGAACTGTTTTTTAGACAGAGTAGTTTTTTTTCAATAATTAAGATCATGAGACCATTGAAGCTAGACCATCATGGGAAACCTGGAAGCACTGGGCGGCCTTTTCGTCCTACCGTGGGACTCCTCAGCAATGCTCATCCACGATCCCGCCTCGCGAGATTCGAACCCCGGGTCTACCATTTTCGCGAGCGAATGCTTAACCTCCAGAACCGCTGGGCCGGCATCTATCGGTGTTAATGTCTAACTTCAACTAATCCAGGAAATTAAGCGACACATCCACCATAGTTTTTATTGAAGTTGGGACGTCATTCTGTTATTATTTATTCACTCAGTAACTAGTGTAAAGTGAATACAATTCACTATCAAAAATCAATAAATTATGGTAAAAACTAATTCTTATACGCAGAACTATTCCTTCAACAATCCTAGTTAGGATGATGTCGGATGAATATTCGTTTATTGTTACCGGAGGAAACATACCATACTAAGAATAATGGTAAAAGTATCCTTCTCCTAAGCGAATGTCAACACAACTTTTTTTATTTATTTCAGTCTGCTGTTAAAATTTTTTATTAAACTTAATGGTTAACCAACTTTAATAATCAATAACCATAATAAGTACAACTTTGTTCATTCATGGTATGGGACAATGTCAATACTAAACGTCACTTTTAAAAATCACCATAAATGTACATCTAAATTGTTTTCGACGTCAGTTAAAATAATCAAATCAAATAAGGAAAATTCAATTGTAATTATATTCTGTTGTTTTCTTTCTTGTCAATTCTGATAAAAATTTATGTTTCTCGTTACCTTATACAAATTTATAAAATAGAATTGTTTTAAGATTATATGAAAATCAATAAACTATAATGGAACACAAACGTACACAAACACTTATTAAATATACTTTGACTATGAAAAATGATAAAACTAATTTATACTCAGGGAAAATAACAACAACCATAAGTAATTTATTAAAGTAATTTATTTCAATATACTGAATTTCCTACTGTGATTTGTGAAAATATCAGTGATAGGTTAAAATGATTATGTTTTTTTTTTGAGTTAAAAATGGAGAATTCAAGATTGATATCGATTTTTCATGAACCCTATGTCCAATGCTGCTTAAGTGACCAACTTAAAATATAATCAAAGACTGGCCCATTATTGTGGCTGCGTTCCATCAATTGATATATATATATATATATATATATATATATATATATATAAATATCTGATTACGTAATTACAGTGATCTTTGCTTATAGACTCATGGTTTTCACGAATTAAATAATATTATTATTGATTAATCTGAAGAAAATAATTAGCAAGTTAGAACGGACGATGAATTTTATCACTAACCACTTCAGAAATGAGATGTCATAATTATTTGAATAATTTCTTACAATGTAGTGTATTGTACACATTGTTCTGTTATTAATAATACTTTAACAAACTGCTCTGATTGCATTTTATTCAAGCTTGGTAGCTAAGTTATAATTATAAGCTGTTCAGGCAAAAAGTATTTTTGTGTATATCTGACGTATTACCAAGCAACTAGATCGGCATAGTCAGTGGCTTTCTTTAGTGAGTGATATACTTTCAGTATGCATCATTTTTAAGGATTTAGATTCTCTTCGAAACAATTTATGAAGAAGTTAGACCTTATTGAGATCCTGAGATGCTAAAATCAAATGACATAGAGAAATAATAGAATAGAATATTTTTGTATAATGAATAAACTCATTTTGTAGGTAATTTTTGTCATTGCTAACACTTTTCGTCATTCTATTAAGTTTATGAAATCACTATCATTCACCAAAACTTTCTGGATACATTTATCCTTGACTTTCGCGGCACCCCTTTTTTGTTTCACTTACATGACACACTGATTGTTGTTTACAAATGCACATCTGATCCTGCACTCCTTGTTTTTAGATTTAATCAACTGTCAAATTGACAGATCATCAATATTATTATCACGTACACCTATTTATCAAATTGGTTTCCTTATTATGGGATTAAATCTGACATATTACTGAGGATTATTTGCCACATTCGGACTCATTAATTACACAATAGAATTGTGAATCTACTGACCAAATCAAACAAATTTTTCCCTAAAAGAGAGTGTAATGTCTAAATTTTTATCTGCGTAGTTATACTTTTGTATAGAATTAATTGATCCTACACTTCATTCAATTTTTGTATCTGCATGTTTTTGCACCTCCACAACTACAAAAACACACAACAGCCAAGGTCAATTGTGTATCTTTTTTAAAAAATGATTGAATTCAATCTAGTTACTGAATTTTAACAAGTAGTATAATTACTATGCACAAATAGTCTGATAAGACAGTTTAGAAACAGATTTAGCAATAAGTGTTGCACAACATCTTCAGATCTTACTATGATTCTATGATAGACCCAAATCAGAATATCATTAGAGAAAATAATTCTGCCATGTAAAGTTGATGGCAAATCATGCGAATGTAAAATTAAATATTGATCATGAACCGTTACGTTCAATATGCGCTTAAGATCATATGAGCCCGGGACATACTTTTGATTAGCAACCACCTGAATTAAAGAATCCTATGGTTGACCGGATCGCCCGATGATTTTTAATTGCATAATAATCGTTCGGATTCCCTCTCTCAGGATTCTGATCCATGTAAGAGGGATTTAAGAGTTGAGTTCAGATGGGTGGTGTAACCCATGTATAAAAGGTACAAACATATATACATATTATCCAATTATTTCCGGAAATGAATGAAATGTTGCACTATCTGTCAGTCTGGGGATGATTTTGATACATTTAATGCTACCTAGACATAATGGGTGACCTTCTTCATCAAATATGTATCTAAGGTATTTAACAGATCCAAGTAAAAGTTTATATTTTTCCTTTGATAATTGGAAACCAGTTTGATATATTTTGGCAAGAATTAGGTCCAATTGACTCACTAGATCCTTCTCAGTTGAATCAATAAGTTTATTATCGTCCAGATAAGCCACTTCATCTTTTAGATCCGGTATTATAGTATTCGTTATCTGCGGAGGATTTCTGGTTCTGGTTTAACGCCGTATGGCAGTCAGTGAAACTGATTGAGTATCAATGACTAGAAAATTCCTTGAATCTCTGTCAGCTTCCACTTGCAAGTAAGCTTCAGATAAATCAAGTTTGGAAAAGCAAAGCATACCGTTTAGTAGAACAGACAAGTTCTCTGCCAGGGGTAGTGGATATACATGACTTTGTAAAGCACCATTTAAAGCAGTCAAAAAGTCCTCACAAAGATGAACAATTCAATTTACGTTATAAACTACTGCAATTGATGGTGTTGAATAATATACGACTGTGTTCCACTGAAATTCTCTATTCCGTCTAAATCACTACCAACTTTATCAATGCCAGCATATGGGACTCGGCGTTTTGGACGAAGAACGGGTTTCGTATCTCGTAGTAAGTATTATTTCGCCTTTGCAATTGTGCATCACCCTAACCTGTCGTTGTTATATCCGAAGAAGCTTAAGTTAT